ATTGTATGTGAGAAGAAGCACGAAGACGAACTGGATACGAAATTCTTAGCGATAACTAGTGTTGGTGATGGCTGCTGCTGAAAGTTTACATGTGCCTTCATACCAAAAAGATTACTACTAGTAGTAATATTATGGTAGTTTCAGATTTGTAAAGTGTTTGTGTCCAGTTTGATGTGGCGTGCTTGGTAACATGCCCGAGGCCCAACCAGATCTGTGCGGTGCAAAAATTGAGCGTTTGATAGGCTGGCGTGCACTGGAATCTTGCCTCACACGAAACTTAAACCACTCCTGAGCCAGACCTGCCAGGAATGACCGAAACTACCATTTCTAGCGAGGCAGTCTAAGTCAAGCCATATCGAGCGCACGTGGTGGGTCCGATTGCACGGAAGGGCGCGAGAGGATGTGAGCGAGTAGGCAACATGTACTTGGGTTGTTCTCTTACCACTTAATTTCCTTCCCTATTCTCCTTTTCTCAGTCCCATGAAATCTTCACAAATGTGTTTTGATTCAAGATAAGCTCTACATGAAAAAGATGTTCAATGATGCTATGGTTCATAATCAGGAAATTAGTTTGCAGTTTCGTCGATCATAAATGCTCAATTATGTGTTGATGTTTGGAGCTATTTGGGAGAATTTTGAAAAGTTCATCGGGTATGGTCGACCGTTTGAATTTTCCTTTTAACGGTAGTTTCATCTCGATGATTCACCCAACTTCCGTGTTGGAAGTTCTCTGTTTTGATGGTCGTTGACGAGTATATCTTCATCTACATAGTGGACTATACAAATGCATATATGTTATCTATTTTAATCAATGTCCAAAATATCATTTAATTCACTGATTTATCAGTCGATTTATCGCTTAGCGGTGGGTGGCCACTAAGAGCGATTAATTAGGAATCGACCGATTAATCAAGTTGGGCACCTGTGGTCAGAAACCTCAAACCATGGCCTCCCCTTCAGTCGCCTCCCGCACATCACACTACATATAGGACATGTGTTATAGTGTTGTCCAACTTTAGTTGTCATTGACACATTGTTTAACATGTAATATGTAGTTATGTATTGATGTAGTGTTGTCCTATTTAAAGGCATCGAGAACACTGGTGGTTGTTTCCATTTTAGTTGTTTAAACCTGGCAATTCCAAGCAAAATTTGGCCAATTAATAGTCAACCAATTAAATCAATCAATGATCAATTTCCAATTAATATCTAATCCCACCCGACCAAAAGGCTAACAATAAGTGACATACTAAACATTACTTTTAATGACACTCATTAATCTCCTTGAGCTAATACGTTCTAATCTACACAATGGTGCTTCAATTTGAGATAAGCTCTACATGAAAAAGATGCACATCGATGTTGTGGTTCCATTCATGCAGCCAGTTGTGTAGTTTCGTTGACCGTAAATGTTCAACTCCATGTTCATGTTTGAAGCTATTTTGGACGAATTTTATCAAACTAGTTGCACACAGTCGGTTGTTTGTATTTTCCTTTGGCCTGTACCTTCATCTCATTGTTTCAAATGACTTTCGTGTTGTATGTTTTTTGTTACAACAGCTGTATACTATGTGTATCTGCATATTGTAATGTATTAAGGTGTTCATGTGATGGTTTACATGAAATTCAGAGTGATTTCCTTTTGTTCTCACTGATCATCGTCAACCTTGCCGCATGGATGCGATGCCGTGCCTGGCACCGCTGTCGGCGTCATTCCTCTTGGCCTCCTCGCTCGCGACCTACTACACTGACGCCGTCATCGCATGCACACTGCACTTCTCCTCCATGCCGTCTGCCTTAGAGCCTCCATGCTGCGATGATGCTAGGAAACAGTTTGTCGTGCCGCTGACGAGGTCGCTCGTCCGCGACTTCGTACTCATCACATCGGACGCAACACCGGGACCATCGACCACTGTAGTCGCCAAGGCACTCTAATGTAACTCTATATGTCATGTGTAGTCGTTAACTCTTAATCAAGTCCAATGTATGGAACCAAACACCATGGGGTTGCATCAACCCAGAGCCAACGCAGGCCACCAAATGCAGACAAAAATTGTTGCCCTGATGCAGTCAGCCTACATGCAAGCTACCAAACAATATGCACAATAGGATTTTACCATGCATGTGCTCAACTAGGCCCAACTGAATGAGAGATGCAAGTAGGCAAATGATGTGCAGGTAACCAAATATGCCCATGATGCATCAGCAAAGCAGTGCTCATGTGTTAGTGACGCGTTTGAAATCCTGCATCATCGCCAAAACATGCTCACTGGGTGCAAGGAAAATATGTTTGGTAGCATACACGGAGGCCTAACTCGCATGCATGAACCTTAAAGCAGTCCAGAGTATGGCTTGCTAGGAACGCTCGAATCGCCCGTTTCTAGCGAGCTAGGCTGAGTTTAGCGCAAAAGTGGGGCACAACGTATGCAGTGGTGCAGGAGAAATCAGCACAAAGATAGCGAGATACGGAAATCGATCGGGGAGGCATGGCACAAAATCTAGCACCCCCCCTCCCGGAATGATGAACTATGAGTTCTATGCACTTGTGTTATATATGAAAATGTTGAACTATGCCATGTATTGAAGTTCAAGTTTAATTTGTACTATTGATGAGTTTCTTCGGATATGGTGTCAAAGTTTTGTTAAATTTTCAAGATTATTATTGTACATATCATATTCGATTGCCTCATATAAAATTTTACAAATTAAGGGGTAGTATGACCACCTCAATTAAAAAGGGCCATCACAACCCCAATCCACTACTCATCCCTCAAACCGAACACTTATTGGAGTAGTATGACTATCCCCAACCATAATTCATCCTTCGAACAAAACAAAACATCGGCTAATCTCATACATCAGCCAAACAGATAAAGGGTTATCCCAAGCCAACTAGTTGGGATACACATAACCACCCTAGCATGTCCCTCTAACTAAACACATTTGAAGGTGAGAAGCAGGTTATACTATCGGAGATTGAAGTCACCGCCTTCGCCGCTTCCGTAGATTTAAGTCACCGCCGCCGAACAGGGCGTGAACTGCACTATGTTTGTCCTAGTGCTAGAGGTGAGTGAGGTCCACGTGATCAGGTAATGTCCTTGGCACTTGTCCCGCCTCACCCTAGTGACACTCTTCCTTATATATTTTTCATGCGTGACTATAAGGCTACTCTCTAGTGTTGGATGCATTGCTCTTCTTCTGTTAGCCTCTTCTACCTCCGGTTTTGGAGGCCCTCTCTTGGGTACTTGGCTTGGGTGGAACGATTGGGATCTTGGTGCGATTGAGTCATTATCTTATCATCTATTGTCTTCCAAGGATTATTCGCATCCGGTTCGAGTTTCCAAGATGATGCTTTATTCACCACGTGCATCCTTGGCAGCTCTGTTTCTGCTTTCGGCAAACCACGATTTTATAATCTCATTTCTTGTTTTTCTTGGGTCTTGCCTTTTTTTGGTAGCCTTTGTTATTGTCAATCTCTGCTCTTCGCGCTGGCAACACGAGAGCACGACTTGCTAGTGACAGATTGGATTTTGTTCAACGGATGCGTCGTCCGATGGCTATGCCGGCACTCATGTAGGACGCGGATGCAATCTACTGTATGTTTTGTGCGACTTGACATGTATCCTACCCTTTGGCGGTGGATTGGTCGCGTATTCCCGATTGCCTTTCTTGTAAAAATAATTCTTTCCTGTGGGCTGTATCTG